GAGGTGGTTAGTCCCCCTGTGGCTGCGCCACTCTCTGCCCCACAGCCATGGCCCACCCACATGGCTGCTACCCTGATAGGCCTAGGTTTATTCAGAACAGAGAGGAGGCTGAGGGGATGGCTGGGCAGCACTTAAGGCACCAGTCCTGGGAGAAGGTGTTTCCAGCCAGCCTCACGAACAGTAAAATACGTAAGCCCAGGAGTCTTCTGCTGGCCCAGCCCTGTTCATCCTCTTACAATGGAGACAGAGCTGTGGATCCCAGACCTGGCTCCAGGCCAAGGGAAAAGGGGAGCATTACAGTCCCACAAGGCACATGAGTCTTCCCCGGGGGGAGGCTCAAGCCCAGGTCTCATCTGCCCTCTATACCCCAAGTTTCTCTGTAGCCCTTCTCTGCCTTCCCTAGTGTTGGCCAGAGCCCCTCAGACTGACAGTGCTCCCTTTGACCTGCCCAGATGTCACAGACAGGGGCTCTGCATCAGCCTGGCCTCCTCAAGGACCATCAAGATGCAGACACCCACCCAGGGGCTCTGGAGGACCAGGAACAGGGGCAGCCACAGTGCAGCCCTCACCTGTCTGGCGTTTTTACAGGGAGGCTAATGGTTGCTAGGCTCCAGTGCTTAAGGGTGCAGACCTGTGTTGGAATAAGCTCTGGTCCCTTAGGGACCCCTATGCCTCTGTTGTGTCCTGTCAGGATACCTCATGACTGCAAAAAGACTGTACACACTGCCTTTACCCACTTCCTCTGCTCCCTGCCTTCAGACTCACCTGGAGCAGCCACAGAGCCCAGGCCGTAGCCACTGTCTGGAGCAAATAGCTTACCACCAGGAAGCTCAGTTTCCCCACCTGGGAGATGTATCTGATTAAAACAGCCCATTCCATGGGAGATATAAGATAAAACAAAGGGGGGGGAAGTACCAGACCCTCCCAAGCCCAGGGACTCCGGCAGCCATGGGTGTGGGGGGCACTAGAGAATCAGACTCAAGCGCTGCCCACAGGGAGGCGTACCTGCCACCAGGATGCCCTCTGGAACAAGGAGAGTCCTAACTGCACCCAGCACCGGGGATGTGGGGACATAGGGAGTGATTCTAGCCAGAAAGTGGCCACTGCCTGCCAGGCAGGTGTCAGGAAGCTGGGGCGGGGGGG